ATCTGAAACGACAACACTGTGGAGGCTAATTTGATCTGAAAAGACAACACTGTGGAGGCTCATTTGATCTGACTGTGGATCCAGGTATGTATGGGCAGCAAGTCTCTTCCTGTCCCTGTTATTTGAAATATTGCAATGGCCTTGACAAGGCACCATCATTTCTGTACAGTTCACTGCTCTGTGTGAGGCCAGGGTGTGGTCTCTATCAGTAATGTTGTTGGTTGGTCTCTGGAAGTTTGTTGCAGACATTAAACTCTTTATGGATACCAACTTCTTTATTATCAGGTAATGAAGGGGCAAGAAGTAGCCCTGAGCCATTGTGAGAAGCAGTAAACTAGTTGTTATCCATAACAAGGTTTCATGTCTTGCAACAAACACGCAATTACCTTCTTAAGCAAACTGTGAGTGTGCAGGTGCTTCGGGTAGGGCGGACATGCTTATCCTTTCCGTGAACACTTGGTGTCATCAATGTTTTCAGTGATCTATTCATATAAGTTTCCCCTGTTTATTGTAGAAAAGGCCATGAAGTGCACACAACACAGTGCAGGATCCTTTCACAATTAAATTCCCATATTTCACGTCAGTTATAATATTTCTGCTCTTGCAGGCATATTTGAAAAATAACATACCGTATGCCACATAATAAGCGCACAGGGCGCTCTCAAAATTAGAAATAGGGGGCTCTTTTTAGAATATTATTTTGGTGAAGAAAAAAAAGTTGAAAGATGAATTTTGTGGTTTATGCTGACAGCCTGAAATGTTTATATACGACAGATATATATTTGCAGAATTTAATTGCTAATAATTAAGGGAGCATATAACACACGAGTGCGTATTATACGCGAATAGATAAGTCTTGTGTACATTGATCAATCAAAAGGGGTGCTAATTGGGATTGTTCACTAGCCAATATATTAGCAAATATCGCCATGGGCGCTTATTAGAGCGGGGCGCTTATTACGTCGAATACGGTAACAGATTTTCAATCTTGATAATTTGTGGTTGCCATAATGTCTTTTAAGGATGGACATAAAAAGGGATATGATACAGTGTTGAAACTGTTTATGTTACAATATGTACATAATCTGCTGCCCATACACCCAGTGGAATCTGTTTCAGCAGATAATTGAGACGGGTCAGTCTCTGGTGTTATTGTCCTCGTGACGTTGTGATGGTTATAATTTGATGATTGGTTGGTTACTCTGTAGTCTCGTGTCTATAATCAATATAATCTGTTATGAACGAAACTGCTATTTGACATAAGATTCATATTCAAACTTGCCAATTATTTAAACTCTGATTTGTATATTATAAAACATGAACATATTCATTATCAATATGCAACCAAAGAAGTTTCATTTATTGAAAAAGATTCTTATATTTTCGGATCAAATTCTGTGACGCAATTTCTGGAAAATACAAACTGAAAAGCGAGTGAGTGAGTGAGTGAGTTGGGTTTAATGCTGCATTTAACAGTATTCCAGTTATATCGCGGCGTGTCAGGTTAATGTTGGAGGAACGCCCGAAGTGATGCAGGTCTCAGACGTTTACCACTTCGGTGAAACCCACGAGCACAGGTATGGTGCTGACAAAAATAGAAACATAATCGGGGAGAAACGGGATTCGAACCCACAATCATGGCGTGCCAAAAAGGATGCAACTCTGCACAACGAATCGTGTGTGTGTGTGTGTGTGTGTGTGTGTGTGTTTGTTTGGTGAAACCCACGAGCAAGGGTATGGTGCTGACACAGACTGAAAAGGAGGAGTGGTTATGAACAATGAATGACAATAAATTCCATTTCCCCTTATTACAAAGGCTCATGTAATATAATTTTAGTTTCTAATATATATGATACATTTTCAATGATGTGAAAATACACTGAGGTAAGGCTAATACAAAAAATCCTCAAATATTCCAGCGGTAGTCAAATACTGTATTCCAGTATTTTACTCATCAAGGAATACATTTATGTTGGTAGGCCCTTTCCCAGGTTGATTGTACACACTTGTTTATTGATTACACATCTGTTTATTGGTTACATACTAGTTTCAACAACCCCCCAAAAGAAAAAAGACACCACCCGCCCGCACTATATTTTAAAAAAACATTGCCTGAGAACCAATTCTTTTATTTTTCTAAGCCTTATAATCTCTATTTAACTGGGTTGAGTTATTGAGAGTGTATGCTTTATCAAAGGAGTGTAACATATCGCAGAGTTGCGTCCCTTGAGGACGCCAGAAACCTATGATTGTGGGTTCGAATCCCGATTCGCTCCGTCTGTTTATGTTTCTAGGTTTGTCAGCACCACACCCCTGCTCATGGGTTTCACCAAAGTGGTAAACGTTTGAGACCTGCATCACTTCGGGCTTTCCTCCCACATTAAGCTCACACGCCGCGATATAACTGGAATACTGTTAGAAGCGGCATTCAATACAACTCACTCACTCACTATAGTGATATGAAAAAGTCAGGTGCGTAGCACAAGATGGTGTTATACAGAGAATCTACATAAAATGGGTGATGTTATTGAGAGGATGCACCAGCTGTTGAGGTGAACAAGACCCGCATGGCTGCCTGCTAACCAGATATCGATGCTGCAGTTGCTTCAGTGCAAGTACCGGTACCTTACAAACAATGCAATGTTGATGGAGCGATCTCTCCCAGGATAAGACCATGTTGCACTTCTCCCCCCCTCGTCTGATTGAGTCCCCATCTGGAGATGACAATCTCACTTCATGGATTTTATGTCAAATTCAAAATTTAAAAACTCGGTCATGAAAGTGTTTTGGTTCCATGATACGAATGTATCAAGAAGATCAAATCTGAAGCAGAGAAGAGATTATACGAGAGCTTCCTTGATCTGTCCATTTTGGATCAATACGTCGTCAGAGTCTGTAGGTTAGGGGAAGGCTGTTAACGAGGATGACGTCCATGACGCAGATGTGGTTCCCAGATCAGGAAGTGAGATAATGTAGAAAAACATATTACTCTAGAAATAGAAATGTTCAGACTGCTATTTTAAGAGACATTTTGAAAGTGAAGTAGGTATAATCTTAAACAATTATGTATTTTTGTATTATTCTGGAAAAGAGAAGTCTTCATGATTGCAATTTCTATATTTATAGATATTATTCATTAGTTTATGAGACGAGTTTTCACGTTTTTGGGAGCTGAATACATGAATAGGTTGGATCTTGATGGATGTCTGCGTTTATTCATGGAGCAGGTTCTTAATGCCGCCAGAAGACTTGGGAACAAGCTGTTCATCACCGTCCTCTGCCATAATAACAGTTGTCTGTATAGTTGGTAGACTGTTATTCCGGTGCAGACATGAAGGCCATGTTATGTCACCATGTTCCATAAAGTTTGTGAAAGCATAACTCAACAATTCTGTAATGGAAGTCATTTCGCCCAGTCGTTTAAGCCACCACAATTCGCTGTGTAGAGTTGCATCCCTTGGGCAAGCCAGAAACCTATGATTGTGGGTTCGAATCCCGGTTCGGCCCGATTATGTTTCTAGGTTTGTCAGCACCATACCCATGCTCGTTGGTTTCACCGAAGTGGTAAACGTCTGCGACCTGCATCACTTCGTGCTTTCCTCCCACATTAAGCTGACACACCGCGATATAACTGGAATACTGTTAAAAGCGGCGTTAAACACAACTCACTCACTCATTATTTTCTACATGCTTCAATGGACGGTGTACATGCAGCAAGCAACAGTCTTCTTGTTGGGTTAACAAATTTTTTCAAATTAAGTGGATTTGAACTGATTTAGAATGACGTTTGTATATTTTTGTGACAAGATGTCAATTCTGTTTGCATTTCAGTACATTATCTTCAGATTGTGGATTGAATATTTTTTGTGGTTCGACTACAATGGTTTCTAATAATTGATAGGATTTAGTGAGTATTGTGTCACCATGAGTGAGTTTATGAATTTGGCTCTATGCAACTGAGAACGGTATTTCAACTATAGCACAGCATGTCACCTTAATGTTGGAGGAAAGCAGAATTGAACAGTATTTTAGTAATGTCGCGTAAGTCCAAAGCCGTGCAGGTCTTACTGCTTTGGGTAAACCTGATGGGCACAGGCCTGGTGCTGCCAAACTACAAATACCCACTGTGTTCTTGTACCAACTTATCTTAGATGTTTTATCCAAAAAAGATCAAAATATCGACATTTCTAGAAAAGTGCAGGAGTGAGTTGGGTTTAACACTGCTTTGAACAGTATTCCAGTTATATCACGACATGACAGCTTAATGTGGAGGAAAGACCAAAGCGATGCAGGTCTCAGACGTTTATCACTTTCGTGAAAGCCACGAGTACGAGAATGGTCCTGACAAACCTAGAAACATAATCGGGCTAAATTTCAAGAAGATACATGAAAGCTAGGATAATAAGATTTATTGGTGTATTTATGCCATACAACCAAGTGATCTTAGCTCTGAGACAAAGCCTAGGTTAAAATAAGGGTTAAGATAGCCACAGCTCTATGAAGGTGGCCGGTAAGACCTACACATGTACAATGATTCTTATGATAGCTCTACCTTCATTTTTAAAAATCCAGTTTCATGATGCATTAAACTACACTGCTTATATGTTACATGTAGATTGAGAGAGAAACCTTATCAAAATGGGAAGGCCAAATGTAGTTTCTTGTTTCACTAACAGGTTGACCCTAAAGTTTACAAATGCAGTTGCTTCATAACATTCCTATATGTTGTGGTTTATTCAATATATATTCTTTGTTTAACCTGTTTTGATATATTTGTATTTCAAGAATTGATTTCAAAATAACCTTATAAGACAACATTTGTGACTCCAATATATTGTTATTCTTTTTCTATTGGAGTATTGACTGAGGAGTCATTTTGTAAACAGTCCTTTCCATTTATTGACACTCTTTAGAAGATGGCACTTTGTCGCAAGCAGCCTGTTTGTAACCGATATGTTTTCTTCCATAACAAATTGATTGCATCTTCCTTAAAGATAAATTCAGTTTGGTCCAGGTGAGCTACAGTGCCTTTCTGTGCCCGACGCATTCACCCTGATGACATGTGTCAGTGTGACTGAACACCTTTGTGTAGCCGACTCATTCTCCCTGATGACATGTGTCTGTGTGGTCGACTCATTCACCCTGATGACATGTGTCTGTGTGGCCGACTCATTCACCCTGATGACATGTGTCTGTGTGGTCGACTCATTCACCCTGATGACATGTGTCTGTGTGACTGAACACCTTTGTGTGGTCGACTCATTCACCCTGATGACATGTGTCTGTGTGACTGAACACTTTTGTGTGGTCAACTCATTCACCCTGATGACATGTGTCTGTGTGACTGAACACTTTTGTGTGGTCAACTCATTCACCCTGATGACATGTGTCTGTGTGGTCGACTCATTCACCCTGATGACATGTGTCTGTGTGACTGAACACTTTTGTGTGGTCAACTCATTCACCCTGATGACATGTGTCTGTGTGACTGAACACCTTTGTGTGGTCGACTCATTCACCCTGATGACAAGTGTCTGTGTGACTGAACACCTTTGTGTGGCCCACTCATTCACCCTGATGACATGTGTCTGTTTGGCCGACTCATTCACCCTGATGACATGTGTCTGTGTGGCTGACTCATTCACCCTGATGACATGTGTCTGTGTGGCTGACTCATTCACCCTGATGACATGTGTCTGTGTGGTCGACTCATTCACCCTGATGACATGTGTCTGTGTGGCTGACTCATTCACCCTGATGACGTGTGTCTGTGTGGCCGACTCATTCACCCTGATGACAAGTGTCTGTGTGGCTGAACACCTTTGTGTGGTCAACTCATTCACCCTGATGACATGTGTCTGTGTGGCTGACTCATTCACCCTGATGACAACTGTCTGTGTGACTGAACACCTTTGTGTGGTTGACTCATTCTCCCTGATGACGTGTCTGTGTGGTCGACTCATTCACCCTGATGACAACTGTCTGTGTGGCTGACTCATTCACCCTGATGACATGTGTCTGTGTGGTCGACTCATTCACCCTGATGACATGTGTCTGTGTGGCTGACTCATTCACCCTGATGACATGTGTCTGTGTGGCCGACTCATTCACCCTGATGACATGTGTCTGTGTGGCTGACTCATTCACCCTGATGACATGTGTCTGTGTGGTCGACTCATTCACCCTGATGACAACTGTCTGTGTGACTGACTCATTCACCCTGATGACATGTGTCTGTTTGGCTGACTCATTCACCCTGATGACATGTGTCTGTGTGGCTGACTCATTCACCCTGATGACAAGTGTCTGTTTGGCTGACTCATTCACCCTGATGACAAGTGTCTGTGTGGCTGACTCATTCACCCTGACATGTGTCTGTGTGGCTGACTCATTCACCCTGATGACATGTGTCTGTGTGGCCGACTCATTCACCCTGATGACATGTGTCTGTGTGGTCGACTCATTCACCCTGATGACATGTGTCTGTGTGGTCGACTCATTCACCCTGATGACAAGTGTCTGTGTGGCTGACTCATTCACCCTGATGACGTGTGTCTGTGAAGCGGACTCATTCACCCTGATGACGTGTGTCTGTGTGGCTGACTCATTCACCCTGATGACATGTGTCTGTGTGGCTGACTCATTCACCCTGATGACATGTGTCTGTGTGGCTGACTCATTCACCCTGATGACATGTGTCTGTGTGGCTGACTCATTCACCCTGATGACAACTGTCTGTGTGACTGAACACCTTTGTGTGGTCGACTCATTCACCCTGATGACGTGTGTCTGAGTGACTTCGCAGTGCATTGCCAACCTAATGAAGAGGCCTGTCAATCACCAGTACTTTCAACACAGCTGTGTACACGGTTGCCAACCCCCTTTTGCTGCATGGGATACAAGAGTCTATGTAGAGGGTATTCGGGACATAGCAGTGTGGTATGCAGGACACAAATCAAATTGTATTTGATTCACAGATTCACTATTTTAAGAAACCATAATGTTGTGCTACAATATTTTCTTTATGTTTTAATTTTTGTCAGTATTGTAACACCCCTCATGATGTTCTCCCTACTAGGGCTGAGGCAGGAAACTCGGGTACTCGGGTACTCGGGTCGGGTGGGTACTGAGTAAGACCCGGGGACCCACAGGACTACCTGTGGTTAGTCACATGGTATAATGAGAAAAATTCACAACTACAACTCCATGGTTACCTACAAGTCGCTAACGTTCGTGTAGTAGGGCGTGGAGTCATCCCACAGATGACATCCTTACCTTGTCAGCTTGCTGACGGGGTTAACCTCTTTGGTCATGTGGACAAGGCGTCTGACCTCAGATCTGAAGGTCCGTGGTTCGAATCCCATCACGGGACTCGAAAATTTTATGGCCGCTACATTCGCATATCTTTCTGACTATAGGCATATTACTTGTGACTTTTAATTGTTTGGAGTAAAGATACAGGCATCTGGTAAAACAATTTTTCATCGGAAATTTGGTACCCAAATCAGACCTACAGCGGGTATCCGGATAGGGTCAGGTAACAGGGGTCAAGTACCCAGGTAGTAAATTTTGACTCATTCCAGCCCTACTCCCTGAAGTGATTTTATGGTACGAAAAGCAACTCCCACTTAAAATATATTTCTTAAATAACCCTTGGATGATGTACAAGTAACTTGCGGGCACGGGTGGCCCAGTCGTTTAAGCCACCACAATTCGCTGTGTAGAGTTGCGTCCCTTGGGCACGCCAGAAACCTATGATTGTGGGTTCAAATCCTGGTTCGCCCCGATTATGTTTCCAGGTTTGTCAGCACCATACCCGTGCTTGTGGGTTTCGCCGAAGTGGTAAACATCTGAGACCTGCACCACTTCGGGCTTTCCTCCCACATTAAGTTGACATGATGTTATAAAACTGGAATTCTGTTAAAAGCGGCATTAAACCCAACTCACACACTCACTCACTACAAGTAACTGCGCTTTGAGCAACCACATAGTGGGTTGAAAACAGCGCCTAAGGAATGGACTTATTAATATCATCAACTGACTCAGCAGATACGTTACCCAAGTTGATGTTTAGTTCTTGTTGAAAGTTAATCCATCATATGATACTTCCAAATGTCATTCAGATAATTGTTGAAGAAATAGCTGTAATAGTTGGTAACATTATCTTATAACGTGGTGACGTACATATGATATTGATGGAAAGGTATTTGTTACAATGTTATGCTATTCTCATTACTGTATTGTTTTTCACTCACAGATAAAATTCTGTACATGTATTCTGATACGGCATAAATTCTCTTCACTGATTGCTATGAGAGTCGCCTCGGGGCTCGTTTGAGATGTTCACTACCGCGTAAGAAAACTTTTGCGCAAGACTGAGACATTTGAAGATTTACATGCGAGGGTTCTGTGAATTGAATTAATCACTTTTTTAACCGTTGATATATGTTTTAATGGTGAGTTATGTTAGTTTTTTTGTTTTGTTAAAGGGCAAATATTATCTGTCAGTAACTATATAGTTATGTTAACATTCTTGTAAATTAACAAACGTCTGTTCTATCGTACACAAAGAAAATGGCTATCTGCAGGAAATTCACAATTTATCCAATTTCTTGTACAAATTAGCGCATGAAGTATAAAACAAAGTCTGGAGTACAGGAGTCAATCAGAAGATTTATGATATTTCTTTGTCATGGTATAATTTGTTTTGTTATTTTGGGGGTCTTCTGTCGAATATGTCCGTCAGAAAGTATCACTAAAATGATGACCTTCGACCCTACTTGATTTGCTACTTCCTACGGTACATGTATCTCGGTTAAACATCGTGGATTTAACTAAAAGTGAATTTTAATAATTTGACCATTATGTTATGCATTCAGCCATGATAAAAAAAATAAACTTTAAAGCGTTTTTCTGATATTTTTGGTGTGATTTAAAAAAAAAATCAAATCTTTTGAGCAAGCGTTTACATTTTAAAGATGTAATGTCTGGACAACTTTCTCTGCTACAGGACAGAAAAATGTGACTGAATAATTTACTTACCGTATTCGACGTAATATGCACCCAGGGCACTCTCAAAATTAGAAATAGGGGCTCTTATTAGAATGGTATATTGGTGGAAAAAAAACAGAGTTGAAAGAAAAATTTCGTGGTTTATGCTGACAGCCTGAAAATGTTTGTATAGGACAGATATATTTTTCCAGAATTGAATTGCCCATAATTAAGGGTGCATATAACACATGAGTGCGTATTATACATGAATAAATAAGTCTTGTGTACATTGATGAATCGGAAGGGGTGCTAATTGGGATTGTTCACTAGCCAATATATTAACAAATATCGACGTGGGCGCTTATTAGAACGGGGCGCTTATTACGTCGAATACGGTATTTCAAACTTATGAAAAAGTAAATTTAAATCAGAACTAATTAGGATATGAGTTTAAATACAAAAATTAATTAACTTTACCTTAAGATAATTTCTTAATTTGAAGTTTACATGATATATGGCTTTAATATTGGACGAGAGGTCAGGCACATGACCATGAAACTGATGTTCATAAGTTCATGAAAGACACAATTTGACGTTCATATGTTTATCACGAGACTGTCTTCTTGAAATGACGTAAACACTGACGGACCACTTCCACATTCCCGGGGAAACCCCTGGGAATTCCCTCGCACGAATACATACAGAAAGGTTGTTCTTCATCATTTTGTCCCTTTAGGTTACACACAACCAAATGTTTTCCCATAGACTTCTATAGTAACGTTATATTTTTTTTTTAAATAACTAAGCATTCAACAGCTATTACCTGTACGTGTGTGCACAGTTTGGCCTTAGAGCAGCAATAAAAAAATAAAAAATGACTAGCTTAGCCAGCTCCTTTTCCGAGTACCGGAAGCTAAACACACCACCCCTAGTTTCGCACCAAATGTCACCTACTTGAAAATAGCTGTGGTCACATTCAGCATAAGTCATCATGTTGAAAAAGACAGTACTAAATATAGAAAAACATGGTCAGTTTTACTAACTGGATGGATGTACATTTGAAAGACATAAAAATCTTACAGAATATCCTCCTATCACAGCCTGCAGATATCTCTCGATCTGCACTGAAGGCTCCCTACGAAAACCGCACTGTCCAAACTGGTACTGATTTGGTGTAGTAGAACCTGTAGCCTTGAACTAAGAGAGTTTGCTGCATGATCGTTTATGAATATACACACTACGACCCATCCCGGAGAACAAAACGTAGAAATACTCACCCACTATCACAGTATAAATTCAGTCAGTGACAGTCTACAGCAATCTATGAATTTACATTAGTATTTCTGTGACACATCTTTATAATCACCTTTAAATGATCAGCCAACTGATCAATGATGACTAACACATGTAACTGCCACAGTTTCATTAACGACTTTGGAAATCTCTCCTGTTCATACAGTTTGGCACTCACTCTTTGAAAGTTCTGCCGTGATATTGCTTGAATATTGATAAAAGGGGCATAAAATCAAACTCACTCACTCACTCACTATGAAAGTTCATACTCCAATGAACTGAGACAAAGTGAAAGACGATTCTTAAATCTATATATCATGATTTTTCTTATTTCTGTTATTTCAGTTTGTGTTGCTGTACACACGGCTAAAATAGATTAATTACCAGATTCTCATCCAAATTTTGAAAAAACGGAGTCATTTGATAAAGTACTCATGTCAATTCGGTTAGCACACTATCTTTAATGAGTATTCGTTCACTGGACTTATGTTTGTAACCTATTGCATGAATTACCGTATTCGACATAATAAGCGCCCCGCTCTAATAAGCACCCATGACGATATTTAGCACCCCTTCTGATTGATCAATGTACAAAAGATTCACAAATAATATGCACTCGTGTGTTATATGCACCCTTAATTATGGGCAATTAAATTCTGGAAAAAATATCTGTTGTATATAATAAACATTTCAGGCTGTCAGCATAAACCACTTAATTTATCTTTCAACTTCTTTTTTTTACCAAAATAATATTCTAATAAGAGCCCCCTATTTCTAATTTTGAGAGCACCCTGGGCGCGTATTACGTCGCATATGGTACCAACAACACAAGGAGTAAGTGGGCATAGTTTAATACCACTACAAACTACACTATATTAAACTAAACAAAAACATAAGTTAGCAACCACAATAACAATACCTGCTGGTAAAACTGTGTCTACAGGACAGGGCCCTGTTCCACAAAGCGATCTTAGTGCTAAGGTGATCGTAACTCCCATACTTTAACAAAGGCTTATAATAGCCGTAGCGCTAAGATTGCATTGTGGAACGGAAGCCTGATGGATAGTCTCAGACTAATTCAAGAACAAAGAAGAAAATGTAAACCTAAATAACCCAATACTGCTGCAATCTTAGTGCTAAGGTGATCGTAACTCCCATACTTTAACATAGGCTTATGATTGTCGTAGCGCTAAGATCGCTTTATGGAACGGAGGCCTGATGGATAGTCTCAGACTAATTCAAGTACAAAGAAGAAAATGTAAACCTAAATAACCCAATACTGCTGCAATCTTAGTGCTAAGGTGATCGTAACTCCCATACTTTAACATAGGCTTATGATTGTCGTAGCGCTAAGATCGCTTTGTGGAACGGAGGCCTGATGGATAGTCTCAGACTAATTCAAGTACGAGGAAGAAAGTGTAAACCTAAATAACCCAATACTGCTGCAATCTTAGTGCTAAGGTGATCGTAACTCCCATACGCTGAGATCGCTTTGTGGAACGGAGGCCTGATGGATAGTCTCAGAC